CCAGTGATGTCGGAGCCACAGGCCGACGGTCACTGTTGATGCCTGAGTTGTTCTTTGCCACGGGGCAGATGATAGAGGACTTCCAGATGGAGGGGATGGCGTGCTCAGCTAGCGAGTGGTTAAACAGGGAGCAGAGAACTCCAGCCAGCTGACCGCCATGGACCTTCAGCAGACGACCAGAGATCCTGTCTGGTCCTGAGGCCTTGTTGGGATTGAGCCGATCTCCACATCCACAGAAAGGTTCTCAACGGCTTGGGACATAGGGGCTAGCTTTGCTCCCTCTCCTGGGTAAAGTCACGTTGGTCAAACCTGCAGAAAAATTTATTTAAGTCGTCTGCCATGCAAACGCACACCTCTGCAGGGAGCCCAGATGATATCACTCTAGAAGGGAGCCCAGCCAGGGTTTTGACCCCCTGCCAAGCATCCCTGGCTCTACCATGGTTAAAAAGCCTCTCCACCCCATCGTTACCCTCTAGTCTGTCCCCTGAGTTAAAAGCTACTTTCTTTTCATTCAGAGTAGTTTTAAGTGATTTAGGCCTAGTCCACACATAGCCGGGGTTTTTTGAAAATGAATATCTGCCCCTCCAAAAACTTGCATCCACACCACCGCGTTTTAAAAACAAACTCTGTCTACACCCGGATAAATACGTTGTTAAGGACATGCCAGACCTGTAGGCGGCAGTACTTCCCCCGTTCTTAACCTCGTCCTACGTCTGTGGTCTTCCGCAAGGAGCAGTAATTCCGCTTGCAAAAACAAACAAGCAAAAAGCGCTTGGACAATTGATGGATCGGGTAGTGACAGAGTGCAGCTCTGAGGGCTTCCATGATGCCGGCTAGTGTAAACACAGGTCGCACACGTGATGTCAGCATTTTTTGGTCGCGGAAAGTGACGTTGCAGATCTTAAAACTCCACTTTGGCCAGAGTTTTTAAAAAGATCTGTTTTCGTGTGAAAAAACTCCATTTTCGTGTGGATGACAGGCCAAAACGTAGAAAAATATCTACGTTTTGGCAGATCCCCGGCTACGTGTGGACAGGGCCTTAGTGATCCAGGACTTATTATTTGAAATCACTTTAATTGTCATCGTGGGAACCAGAGTTGTTTGCCTCCTAGATCCTGCACGAGCCGGGTTAACCCTGTCCCTACACACTTTTCACCTTCTTTATTAAGTTTCTGGTTTTTAATTCAAAAAAGTGGATCCTGGACCGGGGGCCGGGCCCCCAGCTATTGTGCAGTAAACAGCAGCAGCTGTTCTGCCAGCCCCCGCTCCCTAAACTCCTCTCCTCACTCATCACAATAATGAGTTGGGGGATGGGCAGGGCAAGTGGCAACCCACGAACACGTCTGCGGTCTAAAGTAAGAAATAAGGATATGCATGAGGCATTCCCTCGAACGTCGCTGGCTTCCCATGTGCACGCTGACCCTTTAACACAAATATGGTGGAAGATAAAGTATAACAAAAGCATTTGCTGGCACATCAGTCTTGTCCTCCCTCTCAGCCCGCGGTAATCCTGTGTCACGGTTCCATCCAATTCATCACATGGAAGCCCAGAAAGAGAAGAACACATTCTAGATGCTGTGTAGACTTACTCATCCTACGAAGGATCCAGAGCAGATGGACTGTTGTGGAGAACCAGGTTTTTCTGCCTCGGTGTTATTTCAGACGCTGCTTCTCAAAACAGCCAAAGAACTCCTTCATCTGGAAACATCTGGAGTTTTCCTCAGCTTCACATCATTACTAACACTTGTTTCCTAACTTCAGAGGTAATTGTGTACTTTACGTGCACTCACTGTACAAAAGTGGCTACAACGCAGAGATAATTTGCTTCCATTGGTTATCACAGGAAACATCTGGGCCGAATGAGCATCGAGGCGCTCAGCACCTGTTAGTTCCAGCAAACTCAAGCCTCCGAGGCGTAAAGGATGCACCGCGAGGCTCCTCTAGGACTCAGCTGTTTTGTGTCGGGAGGATCAGATCAGCTCTGACCTCTGTAGTGGCGGGTCACCGAGCTGCACCAGCATCTCTCTCCTGTTGCCAGTTCTGAGTGACGCTCTCAGAGTTAAGACCTCTACAGCACAGTTTATTTTGTTTAAATGAGTCATCACCTGAAAGCTTCACTTTTCCACTTGGAAAAAAAAGTACATAATGGCTTCCTGCTGATTTTTTACTGGCTGGGAAGCCGATATTTAACATTGGATCGTTTTTTTTTTGTTTTGTTTTTTACTCCTGGTGTCTTTGCAGCTCACATGCACTACACGAGCGCGCACACTCCAAAATGAGATCTTGAGTTCTGTCCTTGATGTCGTCACAAAGGCAGGATGTACAGTACCATATATGGACCGCGCAGAGAAACGCCGCTATAGCCCCACTGCTCCGCTTCAAGTGCAGCCATTACTGAAATCGGGAGAACGGAAAATGTTGAAGCTGGTTTCACATGTGAGCTGCTCAGGTGCTGACTGCCAAACTCCACACATAAATGTGTTTGTTTTACCGAAACCGG